AGCACTGAATTCGGATTTCATGATAGCGAGGTCAGTTCAGAGTACAAAAGTGTTTAGGGTCTTCATATGGATAACCACATAAGCAAGAGGGACTAGGTGTAGTTGGATATTTTAAATTATCGAACAGGTGGCATTCAGGTCTGATATTGCTAATCTCCCAGCTAGTATTTAGGGGAAGGTTACCATGCCCGAAGCCAAAGCTGTGGTATACCGGATGCGCGGCCACACCTCAGCACTGGTATATTTTCCCGTTGAAGAACAAGAAGGCTTGAGGGATGACACGTCAAGCGGGAGCTGGTTCCATCTTCTCGTAGTTGATGGAATATAGGATTTGTTGGTTGTTGAGGTTCCGTTCGGTGGCAATGTGAATGTCAGTGCATCGCGTAGTGAGCGTCCTATTGCAAAGTGCTCGTGTGTCAGGTAGAAGTGCAGTGACATTTGTTGGCAGTAGATGTTGGTTGTATATGAGGTTGAAAAAACAGTGTCAGTTGATGCATGTTTCTTCGTGATTTGAGAGTGTTTCCATCCCAAATCGTCCAACAGTGCGTGAGTGGTGTGTCTTAGAGTGCACCGGTGGATAGCCTTGCTGCTCTGTACTGTAATCTGTCAGTCTAACGAAGTTGCTGGTCGTCAAAAGTCCGTCGTATATTACGTCACAATAATCAAGCAAAGGAAGAATGTACGTCGTATATCTGTCGGCGAGGATATGCCGAGGCATAGAGTCGCGATAGTGCGTAGAAAGGTCCAAGGGCTCTAACTGAATTGGAGATAGTGATGAAAGTGCAGATCAGTAGTATCGTTAGCCCAGGTGTTTTTGGCTTGTAACGGAAGAAATTCGTGGCTATCAACTGCCAAGCTGCGGTTGGGTCATGTGTGTTTTCTGTTGGTGAATGTTTGTTGAATTGTTTTCGTAACGTTGAACGTGATGAGCCAGTCTTTGCCGAACTCTTGAATGATATGTAAGTCGTGTTGGAGTGCCCTTGTACAGTAACTGGGCCGTGTGAGCGAGCTTTGTTTAGAGCAGTATCGTCTGCAAAGAACAATATGTCATTATCAGTCTATATATAATATATATATATATATATATATATATATGGGGGGGGATGTCGTGGTCTTCCTTGCTATCGCCGTTTCTGGTAAAAATAACCACTTTTTGGAAACATGGATTCACATTTCAAGTGAAAAACTTTCGTGTTATCTCATCGAGTGCATCTCGCTTCACTGTATATCCTCTTTTGAACCGTTTGACGTAAACAAATCAAAGTGCCTTATCAACTTAACAGCTAATGATAGCTAAATTATCTTTGTCAACATGGTATAGTGCTGTATGTCGGCTATACCCACGCGATATCCCCAAGTTGTCATTAACTGCGCCCAAGTCATTGTCATCAGTTCACGGGACCTGATAAGTGCCCGAGCTTCGGACGTAATCTTGAATACCATCAGTAGTACTATGAAATTCGACAACGGTTTCATTTGAAATGTGGAGACAAACCTATCCCAAAGTATCCTGTGTGGCTTAAATCTATTTAGACGAGGGTCTTGGCTTTTCTTCGGGGTCCCCACTGACCGTGAACGTGTGTTGAGGCGAAAGGCCAGAACCTGCCTCAGCCGTTACCACCGGTGACGTGGGGCTCGAAGCGCCTGGGTCATCGCTGCCAACTGGGAGGCGTTGTGTTGACGAGTCCACTCGTCATCATTTGCTGGAAAATCCAGTTGTTCGGGCGGCGGTCCGCACTCTGTGTGGACCGTTTGCACTCATGTTGCGGCACGCGAACTGCCCGGGTTCGCTCCATTTACTGGTAGATGCTCTTTAGGCGCCGGGCCACAGCCTTCCTTGCCGGTTTCTTCGAGAGCGCAGGATACCAATGGGATGAACTATCGTTACCGAGGTCGAGCTCAGGCTGTTTTATGATGGAAACGAAGTGGTTGGGCACCCAAATCCGTTTCGACACTGGTGTGGACACCGAGGACACTGGAGGATGTTTCCTCTCCGATGGTGGCGCTCCCGCGGCAAGGACTTCGTATTCAGAAGGCGAGCGTTAGCGTCTCCCGTGTGATTCAGAAGGCGAGCGTTAGCGTCTCCCGTGTGATTCAGAAGGCGA